CCCATGCACCCTCCAGGACCCTGCTGAGGGTGTAGAGCTGGTCCAGTGTTCCACGACCAGGACGAAAACCACACTGCTCTTCCTGAATCCGAGGTTAAAAAATAAAAAAAWAATAAAAATATGTGCCACAAAAATGAAAGGAGACAATTTACCACATGTTGCTCCACGTCAGAGCAGACCACGCTGCGACCTCCCACCTGCACCTCGATGGGCTTGGACAGGATCCTGCGAGCCAGAGCCTCCATGGCTCTGGGGAAGGTGGCTGAGAACATGACCGTCTGCCGGTCCGGACGCACATTGTCCACAATACGCATCACCTGCAAGAGGACGTCAACGCTGAGATTTAATCTTTACAGAGACCCCATGTGCAAAAACCAGAGTGTGCACCCACCTGCGGCTCGAAGCCCATATCAAACATCCTGTCTGCTTCGTCCAGCACCACATATGTAACTCTGCGCAGGTTGGTGACCCGGCCTACACATCATAAAAAGGATTATAAAGAACATTTATCAGCTATGAGAAGAGACGACCCCCAAGTCCCAGCTTCTTTACAGACAGTGCTTTATCAAGATGCAGCTACTTCAAATTACTTAAAAAATGTAACCATATATAATTTTCTCTCTCTTAGAGGCAGGGGTTTTATTGTAATAACATTTTAGATTTGTTTCTTTGCTTGTCTTTGGTCTTGCGTACCATCTCAGGGGCATGAGGGACCTGTAAAAGTCAGAAAACAGCCTCAAGATACAATACAAGAGATGGAGCCCCATCACCTACAAGGGAAACATATTACAGATTACCTCGCATGTGTGGAAGGAATAAAAAACCCTTTGGTTAAAACAACTGCAGCAGCAAATATTAACAAAGACTCTGAGTCAAACAGGACTTTAAAAAACAGTTTATCCCTAATAAACAAGAACCACAGTTAAGAAATTATTACTAGAACAGTATAACGAAATCATTAGAGATTAACAATAATTCTACTTTGATTTAATAAAATTGATTCTAATCTATCTAAATCCTGGTCGTGATGCAGATTAAGCAGTTGGATTAATCCCAGGCTGAGGAACCGTGGAGGCAGCACCAGGTCCACCTACCTGTTCTGGCCCTGATTCTTCAGGAAATTCATCTTTGTCTTGTAGAAATGATTGATCCCCAAAAGCGGGATCAAATAATATCAACAGTTTAGTAAAAAAATAAAATAATAAAAGGTACTGGTTTGGATTATTTGAAACCATGCAGAGTTACTACACGAAAGATGCTGATTCAGCAACTAATGATGACGTCAGAGTAACGATGAGACGAGTGAACTCACCACTGTTGGCCCCCAACATGTCGATCATTCTCCCCGGCGTGCAGACGATGATCTCTGCTCCTCTTTTCAGCTCAGCAATCTGCAACCCAACAAAAGAAAAAATCAGTAGGTCCTCTGGATGGTTCTTCTTTAGTGAAACGTTTCGTCTCTCCTCCAAGAGACTTCTTCAGTCTGATGAGTTTCAGGTGAACTCAGCCTTATAAGCTCCGCCTCCACATGGACAAACAGGTTAGTCACATGCAAAAGAGGCCCATCGCCTAACAATAGGCTTGATTAGTTCTATTGTTCATAGAGGGTCATGTGCCCCATCACCTGGCTTATGCTGTGGTTCTTAGCGGTCATGTCATGTGTATGTAGTGAATGCAGGCGGGGCTCAAAGTCCCCTTGTTTTTGTTTTTTCCCTCTTTGTGTTGGTATCACTGGGGTCCTGATTCACATCTTTTCCTCACAGGGAGCGGAGTCATACTTGCAATAACAGCATTGTAGGAGGAGGACAACTGGACACGAAGGCCTCCACCTCTGTTTAATGGTGGACGGTTTTTCTTCACAAAGATYYCTTCCTTTACTCCTCTCTCAAACCAACGTTCCTATCAAGGATGAGAACATCTTCATC